CTTTTTTAAATGCAGACCTGTTAACAGAGACCTAACGAAAAATACAACATCATCTGACAACCGGAAGATAAAAAAAGCAGAGCAGATGGACAAAAAGGTATTGTTCGAAACGTTTTTCTAGATAAAGCTACGACGAGGATCTCACAGTCACTTAAGAAGCACGGATATAATAGGCTAAGAACAGACTCCTGGCAAAGTATCTAGAATCTTCCTAATTGAATCGGTCCTTTTCCATGGTAATGTTCACTTGTTTTCGTCCATACCTTGGCTGGTACATCCGTGAATATTTGTTTCACGTATTACTATGCCAAAAATCCATATATAGATGCTAACGTTTCGAAGTATCCGAATTTTCAATGCGCTTCATAGAGTTAATGCGCCGGGTTATAAATAGACAATCGTCGGATAAATTTCCATCATCCGAAGCGATGAAGACACGGCTGCCGTTCAGTGCTCTTTATTACGATCGGCCGCTGTTCTATCTTCCGAAGTTTCTCTTCATCACGTTTCTGCTCGCCCCGTCGCGATGCTTTTCGGTGGCACTATTCGTTTATCATCGTGCGGCAAGGTTATGCCTCTATTTTCGGAAATTCTCTGCTACGTCCATTAGTAGAATCCCTACGTTTGGCTGAGCTGGAAAACAGATTTCAATGGGAAAGCACGACAAAATCTGCGCATGAACTTCGCACGGACAAAGCTGCTGGTCGACAAACGACAGTAACTTTTTCTGTTCTGTCACTTTAGCTTCTCCAAATCTGCAAAAATCCTGCGAAGGCCCCTATAACCGTGGGATCCTCAGCGTTAAGCTAAACTTCACTTACAGAGTAATTGAAAGCGTTTTTTCGGGTTATCCGGTCCGCCAACGGAGATATGGCTTGAGGTATGGCGAAAAACGCATGGTTAACTAAGATATAAAATGGTCTTTTGCGGATCCAGAAGTCTCACTAGCAGGAAAAATAAATAGATTATTTCTTACATATTAACTATTATTTATTTCAGCTTGAATCATGTTAAGGATCGGTTTTTCAGGTCCACACATGCATGCCTTTACTAGAGCTAAGAACGCAAAGATTATTTCTTAGACTGAATGAGGTAGAGACAAAGTCAAACATTCATCTACAGATCGAGATGAAACACTTGAATAAGTTCCTTAACAATATTCGTGGTGGTTTAACTACGCAACTGAAGTATCTACGCTCAGCGTAGCCAGTGGAAGAGGTGGGAGAAGGGAAAGGAACGCGTTATCTTGTTTTTTGCATTTCCTGCGTGCATTATAAGGCTTTTTTATTTGGTGGTGGGTCGACAGAACACGACTAAAAGGAGCACTGTGTAGGAAAAGACGATTTTCGCTGGTACTTATTATCGTTTGTAGCGACACGTAGGCCACTGCTGATGTTGTTTATTCAGTGAATATTCAGAAACGCACTCTAGCATCGTTTAAGTAAAACAACAGAGCAAAACTAGCAGGCACTGAAGGAAACTTCTGCGTAAACTGAACTTCGGCGATGTGAACATCTTACGCGCGACCGTTCTCGCATTGAGAAGCGTGAAAAGGATGATGACAGCCGCAAAAACCGCTTTCGCCAATACGCGTCCTTGCGAGATACCGTTGCATTTAATACTAAAATGGCTCGCAGGACAAGAAGTGTGGCCTGTGCTTGTTTGAGTGCATTGCATTTTTTACGAGCGCTTTGCTTTGTTTGGAGAGAGTGCATTAACCCAAGGAAAATTTACGTTAACCAGGCCTATGGCTTGTTACCTAAATATGAATTAGGACGATAACAATATCCTTTCCAGATAGTTTAAGGTATTTTATGGTGTTGCTTGCGTACACATTAAATGTATTACGCTTTTCATATACGCTAAGCATGGATCGGGTTGGATGAAAACTGTGGATTGTTTTTTGCAGAAGAATCATTTGCTGAATTAATGTATGTTATCACCATAGGTAGAACATTGAAGTGATACTAATAGTTATAATACGGAAACGTACGTATTCGAAACTATTCCGTACATCATATTAGAGAATCATCCATTACCGTTGTGTTTATTTCGAACTGTGATAATTTCGCCTAATATTCATTGTATCAAGACCATAGATCGTATACAAATGGCAACACTCGTGTGCCCCTTATGCCACTGCTTCGGGATTTATAGATGTTATCGTTTATGAGCCAAAAACAGAAAACGAAGCTTGCTATAACTTTTTTTTTTATAGAAATCGAACGTAATTAACAAACTTTTCATTAGTACTGTCGTAAACACGCGAATTGTCGAATGTCTAGCCTTCGTTTTTCAAAAAACGACATGGAAAGGTTCACAATACGAGCGTCCCCGAAAAGTTACACGTTTAGTAAATTTCAACAATTCGATTATTTTGTGTGCTATAGCATGTGGCACCATCTTATTGGAACCATATCTCGGTTATACGCAAATGGAGAGTCCTCGTATCTTCTTTTTGTACGCGGCAACTTTATTTATTCATCGATCTGATCAAATAAAAATACGAGTGTCCTGCATGGTCGAGTTGCAGCTGCTTTTCGGCTTATGTAGCGTAAACGTGAAACGCTTTACATAATCCGTAAACTTTGACCGTTGAATTAACAGATGTTTCAAGCCGGTACACTAGACGGTGCAATGAAATCTTGTTACAGTACGCTAATCATGCTGTGCGAGATATAGTTTTACTTTTTTTTTTTTTTACTTTGTTCTATTTTTAGCCTACGAACAATGGTTTTTTGAAAAACGACCCAGCAAGCCCACTCCATTGAACAGAGTCATGACAAAACGGCGCTCCTATCGCCCTGTGCGAATGGTGTTTTATTTGCAATCGCTTTTGCTTGTAGCAAACATGACTGACTAAAATTTATATAGCAAGAAAAAATATTCAATATTCACCCTATTCAACCGTTTTTTAAGCGGTGCCTTACGTAAATTTGACTCTCTATTGTAAATATGCAATATCAGATCCTGCTGCAACAGCCTGCTACATTTTGGTAATAAGGCCTACAAACATTTGGGTCTAGAACGGATAATGCCATTGAATGAAGAATTATTAAGAAAATGAGCAAGTAGAACAAGATGGCTGCGGAAATCAGTATATATATATATATATATATATATTGGCAATTGCCTTAGAATAAAAAAAATTTTTTTACCTGTAAACCTCCTTACTCCTTTCCATAAACTAACTTGAGCTTATTCAGCACCTACAGTGACCCAGAGTACATTATATTGGGACGTGCCAATCTATAACACTTTTTTTTAATCATCTGCGCCCCATTTCGCACTACCCAAGCCTAAAAAATTAGGTCGATAAATTACGTAAAGCCTTCCATAAGGCATAACCAGATGTCGGCGTATTCCTGATGTGATAGAAAGGATATGTTCCTATCCATTTCAGATGAATTGACATTTCGTTGCAATTATACAGGATTCGGCAGCAAATAACTAGAGCGATTATCTTCCTGCATATTCTGTGGTCTCTAGAAGATCTGTTGAATTTTCCAGTCGGGGCATAGTGTAGAGTCATAACATTAAATTTATGATAATAAAGTTCTTCTCCTTTCGTGCCCTTGTTGAATACTCAGAAGACCATCAATTTAAAAAGCGCTTTCCTTTGAAAGTACTTTAAAGACGTGGTCACATGAAATATCTTAAAACAGCACTTTTTTTTTAAGTTATGCGTTATCTGAAGTAGTATAGAGTTATTATAAGGTAGATTTATATCTTCCTTTGTATAAGATATATTTATATCTTTATTATTATTTATATATTTATATATGAGTTAAGCTTTTCCCGAAAAGCTGCCGAAATTCCCGAATTTAGTAAGGAGTGTGCTTATGTAAGATTATACAGAAACAAGTGTACTGCGACTGTACCTTTTCACTTTCATTATCTACTATAATTCTTATGAACTTTATTATACACGGCTTGACAAACATTTCTTAATAGTTCAGAAAACGTTACTTATAAGTTCGCTCATTAAGTGGGCAATATCTTGTAAAATGAAGATTTTCTACCTTCCAAGTTACCTAACTTGTTAAAGGACTATCTTGTTCTTCCATAGAAACGCTGCTTTTTCGAATTTCAGCGCATGAAAGTCTTAGACCGAAGACCCGTATTCTTCCACAGGTATGGCTTCGTATATCAATGTCAGTATGAACATAAAAGACAACATCTCGAACATCGCATTATCCTTAGATCATCTGGACAGCAGTACTTAGTCATGCTAATTACTTCATGCGATCACTCGCGCGCAGATGTTTACTAATTCATTTCTGTGCAGTAAGTGCGTCCTGTTCTATACCAAGAAAGTGCTGTGTACATTTATGGCGTACAGTAGAACCAGAATGCTATGTTACAATATCTATACAAGCGAACGCTCTGTCGCGTACCTGTCGAATACACTCGGGTTTCTATACCGAACGCACAAAGAACGGTTACGTGTGCATACCCGTTGCCCCTGTGTCGCAGGTCATAAGAAGGTCAAAAATATGATATGAGAATGCGCTGCCCATCTCTGCTGCTACTCCTGCCGTTGCTTCTGGATATTAGTGGGCATCAACAGCGTCTGATTACCCTGTCTGAAGACGGAAGGGAAACCCCATAATGAGGCAGATTTGTACCGATTCGCACGAAACATAGCATCACACGTACACATATGAAACACAATCAGTAATGCTTTCATATAACCTTGATACATACCATCCGTCTAACTGACAGATCCAAAGCCAAAATTTCCGAGATGTAACAAATTAGAGACGACAGTACGCAGCTGCGTACCGAAATAATGTTTGACGTGCACGTTTGGTATTGCGGCTAAGCACTGCTTCATAGCGCTAGTTTTTATGCTCCTACATACTGCCTTCTCTAATTCGTTGTCTCGTACGACCTGCTCGATCTATTCTAGTTTGCCAAGAGGTTTGAAAATTGTCTGGAACACACGGGTTGGCTAGGGCGTAAGAAATGTGTATGGTACTGTGGTAGAACGTCTTTTCTACTGCTCGAACGGTCGAAGAGTTGCCTCGGGCCAACGGTGACCCGTCGAAACGAAGGCAGCGTCATAAGATTGGGAAAACAGTAAGCAAAACGAAACGAACCTTTTAGAGACGGTAGGATTTTTACTATTCAGCTATTGCTGCTACTGCTGCTGTGGCTGTAGTCTGCTGTACTGTATATGATCTTGCTAAGATGGGCGGAAATGGGCACGTAACGAAACAGCGAACTTAGGAATGCCGACGGCTAGAAGCATCTTTTTAGTATGGATACCCTTATCGATGCGAAGACCGGACCGCCAGAAAGTTTAAAACAGCTCGCGAGCTAGCATGACGTGATGACGTTGTTTGAAGAAAAGCGCCTTTCCCGGTGGGTAGTGTGAAGAAACTTCTAATGTATATATATATATATATATATGAAAATGCATTCAATTCTGTATCAACATATCTGCGTGTGTAAGTTTGTGTCCACGCAACTTTTTAGTATCAGCAACTTCTAGAGACCATCTATGGTATAGTTTTACAACTGCTTAATTAAACATTCTACATGCGCATAATTTGTACATAAAGAGTTAAGGTTTGTGGCCGTGCGGAAGATCGTGTGTCATCAATAGACACCTGCGTTAAAAAACATATGCTGCTGACGGAATCGAAAACGTTTTACAAATAAGATCATCAGGTAAAATTTTTAAATATGCAGTGTCCTAACGTACCCATCTCTAACAATCATTTCTATGTCGAAGAAGCTTTAAATCATTAACTAGGCTACAACCGTCATTTTCTTAACATAAAAAATGAATAAACTCAGGCTAAGGTTACCGTAAATTGCCGATTCCTCTCACTCATTATCTAGACTCATATATTTATGACCAATAATAAAGCTAATTTGATTGAATTTGAATTAAATACTAAATTGTAACGTCTGTGTAATTTACGCTACGAGACCACTTCGAAAAGATGCTATATTACATGTTCAAAAAGACGTTTATGGGTTTGACGTTACTATAGTCTGCGTCTGTGGAATTTCTAGTTGCGCTTCTGTTGTTATTACTATATTTGCTAGAGTGGATTTTATCGTTGCTCCTGGCGTTGTTAGTTCTATCATGCGGACGCACGTGTTACCAGGCGATGCCCCGACACGCCTGGTAAGCCTTGGACGATGCGTGTGCCCATTGCAGTCTATAATCATTCTGACTGCTACCTTGGCTAAGTAGGTTAGTTAAAGCTTCAGGCCATAACTCACACCGTGTCCTTTGACGAGCGGCCACGGCGGTTGTGTTGTTCTGTCGTGTGGTGCCGTATAGAAAGTACCGGTTGTATTACTGCGGAAACAGCTCAAACTTCAAGTTGTACAATAAAAACACACATATATATAACCTGCGTTAGAGAGAACTCTCCGTCAGGATATTAATGAAATCAATCCGTGACATTTTTGATACACACAGTGCCGAATATCTTGTTGTTGGATATCTTGTTTGTTATTACATATACGGCCTCCAAAGATACCCTGGTGAATATTATACGAGAAAATATCACCCAACAAAAAGGCATTTTCAAATAGATTTGAATGCTATCCAAAACTATACGATCGACTATATATCCAATATAGATTGGATTCTTTATAATGAAGCTGATGAAAATACTTGTGTCTTAGTGAGGGTCAATAGCAGTAGTAATAGTCTTTCGAATGCCATAAGTAGTTGTATAGGCTAAGTAAGTAGCTGAACTTAATGCATTTACGGTTACATCGATGACGAGAATTTATACTGGCCTGTTGACTAGGAGTAGTTAAAGTTAATGCTTTAAGATGGGAGGCCAGCTGTCCTTGTAGTTATGTTAAAGCGTATATCGTGTTGTATTCAACATTTTGTTCTTTAATCATGCATAAACTTCATTTAACTACCTAATTTATATCGTTTCTGCTATCAATTATTCATGGTAACCCATCTATTCTCTTAAAGATCTCTTATATAAGTATATCAGTAGTGGTGAGTTTGGCGCGGCATTAATAATGGTTGCCTTGTGTAAACTGTCACGCAAACAGACCTAAAATCGAAATTGCCGACCACGTTAAACGTCGAACTTAAGCTGGGTCGTGGTCAGCGATTTATCGTGACCTTCATCGCAGACGTAGCGACCACCCACGGAACCGTAAAGCAAGACGAAAAACACTGAACGAGCGACAAGGTCAATTGCTCAGTGATGGCGACGATCCCGTATAAAAACCACACCAGGCCGGGCTGCCAACGCTAATGAAGCTAGCGTTACACGAATAACTAGTCACCTATTCATTAACTAATGTACGTTTGCGCCTTTGAATCATGGAAGTACTAGTAAGTTAACAACGTACTGTTTAGTAACTGAATTCGGCTATACAGTAAATGTCTATCCATCACAATGGATCGTAGCCTAATGCAACGATAATATATTATTTTACTAATTTGGTATACTAGATGCCAGGCAGATAACAGCTGACCTATTCATACGCACCAAAAACAAGAGCAAGGCGTACGAACATAACGCGAGAGGTAAAATCTGACGCCATAGCGATGCTAGAATATTGTTGAAATCGATACAACCCTTATATGGATTTCGTTAATCATATAAACTGCTTAATTTATTTTTTATGGTGGACTAATGTTTATGTTTTCTAGCCGTATTATGAGAATAGTTAGCATAGATATAGCTCTATTTCTATCGACCTGGCTACACTCCAACCAACTTAGGTTTGTCTGAAACACGTTGCCTATGGTTAGAATAATCTCTCTGGCTACCTCTAAGGGCCCCAGACAGCAGGAATTAGATGCCTATCGAAACTTATAGTTCTTATGTTTTACAGAAATGCACACACACACACACACACAAAAACACACACACACACATAGATACACACCCAAAGACACAAACACACAGAGACACGCACACAGACACACACTCAGACACAGACACACCCACAGAGACACACAGATACACACACAGACCCACACAGATACACACAAACACACTACACAGACACACATATATACACACAAACACACACACACACACACACAACACACACACACACACACACACACACACACACACACACACACACACACACACACACACACACACACACACACACACACACACACACACACACACACACACACACACATATACACACAACACACACACACACACACACACACACAACACACACACAACACACACACACACACACACACACATACATACACACACATACACACACATACATATACACATACACATACACACACACGGAAATCGTTCTCGTAAAATAAAATATTTAATCCGCCTGTCAATGATCTTTATGAAATCCACACTCATCAAGATGAAGTAAGATCTTCTGGTTGACGCTCAGGTTCCGCCAGCAGAGTATATTTTACCGTTTGCTTCGACTCTCACTTTTCCTTTCTTTATTTATTTATTTATTTATTGTCACTAAAGAAATCGCCCGTACAGGAAGGCCGTCTTTATTGAAGCACTCAGCGACAGACGACAAACAACTGTGTCATAAATGATGAAACAGCTTGCGGAAAAAATCTCTAACTAGGTTCTACCACTTGGATTGCCTTAGAGTTTTACTCGGGCTAGACGTCGCCCTCAAAACCTACGATCAAGTTTTTAAGCCTTATGGTCTGCTTTCCAGTTTTTCGCCCAACCACAACCCGCTCTCCGTGCCCAGTTTTTACACAGACAGCGCTGTTGCCCCTTTTCCAACGGTAGAAAACAGCACATGACCTTCTGGATCTGAATACCATGCATGAAAGTGCGAGACAAGGAGAGAAAACGATAATGGGCGTACAGCAACGAAACTTTTAATGCGATTAGCGACCTCCTTCCTTGTTCCGCATCTTCGTTCATTTGTTTGGCATCAACGATGCGAGGTTTCATCTCGATGCTCAGGTTGTTATGCGCTGTCTATAGGCACAACATCTCGGTTGACGTCTCCGTTGCGCGTGCCTTGCTCAGTCTTGTTCTCGATTTCGGCTTCCGGTACTGACGTCCGGCTCTTTCCTGCTGTCACCCGCAATGTGCATCCTTGGCTGCCTGTTTACTGTTGTCACTGCCATAGAATGCCCTAATTCCTTTGCTCTGTGTAGGTTTTTAGAACATAAGAGCGGACCGAATGAGTTGTGAAGGCTAGAAATCGAGCGCGAACTCAGAGGCAAGCATCGTTCGAACGGCAAATATTTCACGGCTCGAAGGATGGAATTATTCGTAATCGTCTACGCGGACAAACAATATGTCCTTAACTATTCTCATAAGCTGAACCTGATTTCTGCTCTATACGAGATTCATTTTCTCTAAGCAGAACGGGGAAGACGCTTCGGCAAAGCAATATCAATGGTGATAGTAGGGAGCTGGAAGTTGGATCTATATATTTACATAGGCGAAGTATGCGAAAAGATAAATCAACTGCAGTCAACACAATTTTTCATGTAATTACACAGTCAGCGGTGACCAAAGAAGTGTGGCCGTAAATTTCCCATAGTTTTTTGTGGTGCGAAATTACATTGCACTCATGTGGGATAGCCTGCACATAGGACTTGATGTGATGCTCGGATTTTGCTTGCCTATCTGAGTAGTACACACATGAAAAGTTCGACCATCATGTGAAGTTGAAAATTCGTGTAATTGTTCGTGGGTTCTATTCTACGATCCTCGCAAAAACCCTCGACCGTACTAATTCACTTGCCATCTGTTACTCAGATTGACGGAAAATGCGTAGTGTCTACCAGTTATTTCTGTAATCTTGGCTGGCCAGTAAGTACAGTGGCGAGATGATGATCCATACTATCGTAATATAGCATTAATACCCGCCTTTTGTCTAAATTCGGTTGTTTTTTTCAACATCCTAAGGTCTTGATAGATATATATATATATTTAATGCAGACCTGTTTGATGAAAATGTAATACGAAAGTTCCTAATTGAATCATATTATAACGGCAATAGGCACACTACCGCCAAAACATTAGGATATATAGCTCTATTTGAAACGCTTAACCTATACTGTGATATAATAGGACATATTGATCGTACTACCGAGGCTCCGCCTATTGCTAGTAATATGACAGATGGATATATCTCAAGATTCAATTATTGTCCCGCTTATAGCTTGGCCTTACTTTAACATATTATAATAGGAGATCAAAACAAATTTATTCAGGCTTACGGTTATGGGATGGTTTAGATATATTGTGAAAAATTACTACAAACGGCTATTTTATTTCTAAAGGGATAAAGACTTGGATACAAATGCTTGAAATGAAAGAGATGCAAAATTCCCTGTTCCTGATCTTAAAAGTAAAATCGAAAACAATATACAGCGCTTGTGAGGTGTCCATTATGAGCTTTTTCATAGTGGCGTTTCAATGACCACTCAATAGCCTGCACGTAAACAATCAAATATCTGATATCCTGCGCAAACACGACGATATTTCTTGCATTTCTCGCTTATTGTGACTGCCCGTCCTTTTTCTGGATAAGTACACGAAACGTGGACAAAGCATACAGCGAAGGAACTTTGTTAATCGAGTTGATAAAGCCATATGGATATTACAAGACGGTCGTTGGTTATGTTCGATAGGACCAAGACAAAAATACGCTTGAGAACGAGCAGATGTTAAATTTTCGTAAACTCGTTAAAAATGTATGTAGTTAAACATTTATATATTATCCTGCAGACAAATAACAAATTTAACAGAGATAATAGACAACGAACTCTACTTTTCCCTCCGACAGGACATAGTATCTGCGTTTCGTCTGTACTTCTGAGGTAGCAAGGGAGACAGACGGTCGTTAACAATATAGGAAACACTGAATAGCTGCGAAGAAGGTTTGTCCCATTCGTTGCGCGCACTTCACTGAAGCAACTCTTTGTTTACGGCGGTTTGCTCGCTGCTCTGGCTGATACCAAGATATTTCTTACTGGAGTCGAGAAGCTTTAAATGGCGAGCTTCCCAAAAAAGGGCGAAAGATTACCAACTATCTATGCACTGTTTACTCGAACCGTACTGAGCTGTTTTCTACTAATGCCAAAGGAACATGTACATGAGCTCATCAAAACAGAGAAATCATGATCCAGAAGTTGTTCGTCACGGAACAGTATGTATGCCACTGCAGCCCCTAAGTTTAGCTTTTTCGACGTGCTAAAGGGTCACGAATCATCATTATTGCGTAATATTTTAAGCGGCTTGAATTCCGTCATTTAAAGAACGATACTTTTTTTTACAAGTGTCTCTATATTGCTTCGGTAATTTGCGCTTCTGTATTCTAATATAATGGTATTTACGCGTCTTATATCTATTCATCTATATAGTATTTAAGGTGTGTTATTTAACGCATGTGAGCCCTTCGAACGTGTTTATTTAATACATTGTAGACTATCTAGCAGGTTGGCTACGAGCCTGCCTGATGACCGCATGCATTGTGAAATATATGTTTAAAGTGGGCGACGGTTAGAGATGATTTTCTTGTCGTGTGTCGCCCGTATGGGCAGACTCCCTTATAGCTTTTGCACGATAAAATTTAGATTTTTTATTGCATGGAACGTCCTACATTCCTGGCGCGATAATTTGAACACTGCTAGGTGGCCTTACTCGGGGAACCCTGTAAATAATGGCATGCACACGAAGCTACACGTTCATAAACGGAGCTCAAAAATAGATTCCGTATCGCTAATACAAGGTGAATATAGCTTTTGTATCAATTCCACAGAATGGGTCCGGCAAGTTGATATGATGAAATTATCATAACAATAGTAGATAGGCTGACACTATTTACGGAAAATGGGTAAAATATATGGGTCTTCTTTTTTGCCTTCTTCATGACAAAAAATCATACGAGGAATGATCTGATTTTGTTAGGAAGACATTCACCAGAATCTTCAGTGCATCCCAATAAATGTATACCGGTTTTCTTGGTAACAATTCGCAGAATATGTACTCTTCAACAAGCAAATGCACTTTTCAGCTCAGTATTTCAACTGAGCAGCTATAAGGAAAGTACTAACCATTCATATTTCATTGTATTTATAACGAAATTAAGCCGAATTTGACATAAGTGAAGGACCTGGCTTTGCCGGAGGTCAGGGTTGAGTATGAATACCATTGACCTTGTTTAAAAATTGTTTACAAATCAGATCAACTATGGCAAGTTGATTTCAACTCTAGCCATTTATCAGGTCTGATTAGCTGACGGTTAGTAAATAAACAAGTAAGATTATTTTACGTACGTTATAAACAAAACTCTAGACAGGTGGTTCCCGAAGCTCCATGCCGTGAGCTCTATGCCATGTTTTCTAGATATATATATATATATATATATATATATATGTATACATATCTTGAAGGACACTAAAGTTAGACCATATCAGTCCTGTGAAATCATTTTCCGTTAATTTTTCTCGTTATTTTTATTGCGTAATTTACGTTGACATCTAGATGTTCTGTGACCTATATTGACTGAAGCGCTAATGGTCGACCCTACATTCACAGCTTCAACGTGTAATGACGGGTATAATTAGATTGATTTCGAGAAAGAGGACCTTTGAACGTCTCGTTGAAGTTTATGCTTAGAATCAACTAATGCAAAGAATCCCTATTTCGAAACGATGGCTATAACGCCATCAAAGGCGTAAGTAGAAGGCGTCATTTTGGTTTCCAGCATATGAGGCCCCACTGTATGTATCATAAATCAAAGACGACCATATACATTATTACAGAGTACCGCATTTAATACACTTCAGTCCTAAAATAGCTGGGTCCATATCTACTCTTTCTTATTTTCTTTCACTCTGAGTATTTAGATGGCGACCTACGCAGCGCCGGCAGCAGCCGCCAAGAATATGCGGCATCTACGTTCGTTCGTTGTGACTACCTCAAACTCTGTGCTACGTGTCTGTCCCCTTCAAACCATGCATGAAGTAACAACTCACGTCGCTCCTGCAGTGTGTGTCCTGTGCAGCAGGTCAGGACAGAACAGGACAAGACGGGACAGGAAAACAGACCGTCTAAAAACCCGCAGGTTCGTTGTTTCTACGACGGTCATGTCAGCAGGGGCGTCAAGAGTAAATACCTACTCATGGTAACCAAAGTTCTCACCGCGTAACCTTTGGGCTGTGCTGGGTGGCCACCGCAACTACGATAGGCACAATTACAAGATAGAGAAAGCCAAAGGTAGCCGCAGTAAGAAGCAGAACTTAGTTAGCCACGAAGTGAATTTTCGGCTTCGTCGATGAGAACAGAATGAGATAACGATGTAAGATCAAAGACATACCGCATAAAAGTGGGCAACTGTTTCCGAATTAGAGGGACTCAAAGAGGCAAATCCTGAAAGGGACGGTCTTTTGTCAATCACTAATTTTTACACCGAAGAATTCCTAATCCATGTGCGTATCACACTCGTGATAGCCGATTTTCTGTTACCATATTTCTGCTCACGAACTCGTACGTACAACTATTTGCGAACTCGAAAACTTGAAATAGTTACGAAGCAATTTGTATTGGAGCTCTGTTAAATATATTTCATAAGTATATATGTCACTAGGATCTTCTAAATGTACATGTATTTCGGTGAAAACTCATATATCTTTTGTGTGTTCATCGTCCTTGCTATTCTATGACAGTTCTTCATCTGTAAGCTACTCAACTGATTGGCATAATTTCCTAACAGGTGCTAAATAGCGTGACAGGGGTTCTATCATGATAAAGTTATATAATGATAAACAAAGTGACAATTTAGAATAATAATAAGAATAAAAATATAGAACAATAGATGGAAAGGGTATTAAGCGAACCGAACACCTCTTTCTTCCAGCTTGAACATAGTAGACGTCTCTGGATAGACCGTCGTCTGTACTAGGCAGGTATGCTGAGCAGATACGGTACGAGCTTGATGACATCGGGGGTTCGCTGCAAAATATTCTAGAAAGTTCTTGGAAGGATTATTACTTGAGGTCGCGTATTTATATATATATATACATAAATTTGTTCCAAGAAAGATTTGGATTGCAGTGATCAGTACAAACTAAGGTGCTCGGTTATCTTTAATATTTTCCATCCATATTGCACAATCTTAGGATAACTATGATGATTAACTGTTTCTCCAAAATGTACAATATTATTTGTCCAAAATTTTATCAAGGTGGCCTGAGCCCTACGTTCTTCCCTGCTAACCTTGAAGGCTCTTCTTCCTAGTTTGATGACTAAAATTAAAAAGATTAAAAATGAAAATGTCCGAGTTTTAGTGAGCATTTTCCAAAGCAGATTACTTATATTGGTAATAATAAAACAAACCGAAGTAAATGACGTACTCGAAAGAAAAAAATTATCGTTCATTTTTAAAAACAGTTTGTACCATCTAACTGGAATCTCGCTTTCGTTGCAATACGAGCTAATAACAGTGGCTTGTAACAGTAATGAAGCACGTTAAATACATTTTGATGATCGAAGTTTTTGTCAATTTAACTTACCAAATCACAAGGTCTAAATGCGTCCGCATCGAGGGAACATTTGCATTGGGCACAGCCTCATCTGCAAACCCGGCTGGTCGATAAATGGAAAATAAATCGGACTGTTTTATCAACGCTTCCTTTGGGAGCTTCATCGGCTTTACGTGCACAGTCACAGCGGGGTCCAACGTATTGCGTCATTATTTTGTTTGAAACGCAACCAGTTTGTTACCAAATTCAAACCTAAATTGTTGTAAATGTCGACTAGCACAACTTATATAGCAGGTACACAGCGGTCCGTTGCGAAGAATACCATATATATGAATGGAATTAGTATTTATCTGCAAAATATTGAGACGACATGAAATTAGTCCAGTGACTAATTCCCGCCTAAGTTATTTAACGCGGTCCTAAACTGTATCCCTTTTAATATCGACCACACAATATTGATTTTCTCTGACGCTCGCTTGTGTGCAGTACGTCTTTCCTTTCGTAGATTCTCCATAAAATACTACGCTGTTCTACAATGCGTTCATTTCAGCCCAAATGAACGCCTACGCCATAAATAACGTCCTAAGCGAGTCAATCTAAAATAGGAACGTTGCGTTAAGCGTATTGTCTCTCTAGACAATGCTCATTGTATTTATTCATGGAACGATACTTTAATCTTCCTTCACGTTCAAGAAGTGTCCAAGTCAGCAGTGGATCTTTTTATCGCCACAATCTTCCTCGAACAGTTTTCGCTTAGCTGACAAATACATCTGCATTACAATAGCCACTCACAATATTATAACATCTTTGTACGCCTATAATTCCTCGTCAAATACAAGATACGTATAATCTCATTAAATAGGACGGATGAATAAAGCCAGCGTTTAGGCTTATCTCGAAGTGTGGTAAGGCGGCGCTGGTCCTAGTCCCCCCGGCGACTGTCTGCCTGACATGTCGCTTGTCATCTGTGCCTCTTCAGCGATAGATGAATTTGCCAGACATCTGCTACTGACCAGAAGAACTTACTGGAAAAATACTAGGACTGAAAGAAGCGTTTCAAATCCCAGATAATAATAGAGTTTATTTAAAGAAGATGCACTTAAGTCTTGTATGACTGACTGCCTACCTTAGAGTCATCAATAGATATCAGAGTAAATCCTTTGGCTGACGTCAACACTGATCAAAATCTATGCGATTTACATGACTTTTAATAGGAAAAACAATACAATAGAAGGGTCCTGAAATGACTGAAGTGACTATCTATATTGGGCCGAACGAATTGCTTGTGGCAAATTGCGAACAGCTGGACAGCACAAAGAGTAATCGTTTTGAGCATTTTAATATAGGGATAATGTTGCTGGGTGAGGATTTCCATTTACGACGTAGAAAACGCTACCTTTGTCGAGCGCGTGGATCACCTCGCCACACATACGTTTTTCCAAACATATCTCCACAAATGGCGAGAATCAAAGCGAGAGCTGCAGACAGGTGCGCAAACGCATGATTCATGAAGTGATACAAAATAACTAGAATACCTCGCTGTTAGATTTAGAATCACGTTTCGAAGTAATATCAAACTATATCCCGAATCATAGTCTAAGCTTATGAAGGGGTCTAGTGGGTGAGAGTCCCACGGTACCAGACAAAGAATAAATCTATGAAGTCTGGTCTGCATAATGCATTTGCCCTCAACCTCCAAAAAAAAGATTTAGAATTACGTAGGAAGCTTTCACTAACTTCTACATACCTATATAACTTCGAACCAGATACATTGCATTAAGGTAAATATTAAAATTAGATATATGAACCTATAGATCTTCGATCTGCCATTTATTTCTATAATATTAGGACACAAACATGCCGTGCGATATGTAACATGGTTCACCTAAAATACTGCCAACTTTGTAGTATCTGAAAACGACATCAGAAATATCCACCTGTAGCATATGACCGAATGGACAGTATTGCGTTGTACTAAAACTTTGCCAAGTATCGTCGAATGTTATCAACCACATGTCTTCCTACGACAGCCATGGTGAGCCCTGGTCGTATACGCATGACTCGGCCAAGGAACGTCATTAACCAAAGAAGGAGCTACGAAACAGAATTATACTTACCAAACGCCTAGCACAGAGATATAAATTGTACGCTGAGACTGTGGACGCCAAGAGATACACGTCCTCCCCTCTTCCGTAATTGTTACCACTGCTCAGTCCGCCCGAAGGGCTCAAAACAACTTTGATTGATCATTCATCTTGTTCGCTGCGCAGCTTTGGAGGGGTGTCGACTGAATGCAATGAGCGCTCCGTGATTGTTCCTGAAACAGGGCACGAATCGGGAGGTAAGGGAGCAAAACTTTTGATTAATTATTTTTGGCCGAGTCAGTTAGTAGTGAATAAAAAAGTTTGAATATGTATAGATAGGCAGGTGCGTCCTGGTATGTCAGACACACACAAGAAGCTAGTCTACACCTGTTTAAAAGTAGACGAAAAGGCTGAATGACACATGTAGAGAACCACGTGTGAAGATTGTTTAATTATTCCGCGTATCGTATGGCGTATTCTACCATTAGGGCTTTATGGTACGCGGCAACCGTTCGTGAGAGTCTGGTGAATTCACATGGAAAAATATATTCGTAGAGGAACGTGTTGATGAGTGTGTGCAACAATCATTAATATCATCGTGCAGTTATTGCTATTACTCCTTTCATTACAAAGTGTGGTACATAATTTAAATGATATTGTGTTGTCGAAACGTTGTGTATGTATGTACTTCCACAGATTCGAACCGACGACACCCTAGATTTTATATCCAGTACAACTTTACTTTCACTGGCTACGTTTGTTTTATTGTCTAGTTCGCTTTCCCATAAGAACAGTAATGTTGTTCGTCACCAACATTCAGATGGAGTGAAAAGCCCTCAAAACAGACCGCCAGTTGGGGTAACAGAAACATCAATAAATTTCAGAGATCTTATCGATGTTTCGGATTAAACAAAAGGGGACGTAGCTTTGAACTTTGAAGCCTAACGCAAGCATACCTAACTCTGTTTATATCTCAGGGCAACAGAAGCGGGCGTAAAACTCGAAACGTTGATTTAAACAACTCAGATTTATCTGTCTTATCGATCTATCTAATCCTATTTGAAGGTTTATGCCCTGCCGGACTTGTATGCATCGTGATTTTGACTGGCAATCCCCTCGGTGACTATTTTACTTTCTCTAGTTTCGGTGGTAAGTTTCTAGCAAGTTTCATTGTAGTCATATTTCTAGCAATACATTGTAGAGATCGCATAGCTGCTCTCAATTGAACTGGTCCTAAAAAATATAGATATCAACAAAGAAGTCTCTTCAGTCAATAAGCATCTTTCAGTCAAGCGAACGGGATGCCCTTTATGATTTTCGGTCGCTCTCGCTAAAATAGAATGCGTTAATAACATAGTAAATAATCATCGATATAGAATATATCGCTAGATTATTTATCAAATATAGATTAATATATACAAGATATAGATTATTTATATCGCTTTTTTAGCATATACAGCGTATTTTTCGATTAACCTTAACAAATAAGTAACGCTTGTGAGAGAACTCACGTTCCCGTTTTTTCTTATAGTTCTTTCTATCCTATTTACTTATTAAGTTCTTACATAGACTGTATGCCTTTTGCTCAAATAGTATTTCGAGTGTTCGAGAATATTACGTAAACCTGCTGATGTATAGTTGTAACAAAGCAAACTAGTTCTTAAAGTCACGTTAAGACGTACAGCCTTGTATTACAGAGTACTTACATTGATTATTCTTTAAGGTTGCATAAACGTACGTTATAATCATTACAGCATGCAGGAAATGGTAAGCAACGAAAACAAGCCTCGGCCTTGACCGATACGAGCTTCAAAGGGCCCCTCTGTGTGGCGCTTGTTCTTCCTCGAAGTACTGCGTCTATTATGGGAAAGGTTCAAAACGGAGAGAATGGAGAATCGTCTGCTAATGCAAAATCAATACCATCTAACTGGCTACATGTATCCAAGCAGTTTCCAGTTCGTACCTAATTACTCGCTAAGGAAGATTCTACTGCTCAATAGTAACGCATTTCTTTTGTTCAAGCTGAGGTTATTAAATCTACGGTAATAAGGCGAGAAAAACATTTTCGCCAGAGAGTGAGTTTAGCAGGCTCACCTCTAACGATAAACATGATAACAAATTGAGAAGCCCTTTCTGCAATCTGAATTAGATCACACATTCAATATAAATCTAACAGGCCTTGAAAATCTCCTCTGTGCGGTGCATTGATCGTACATGTTTACATTTTATACCTATATATGTAGTTAAATTGTCTAACATTGTACAAATTATGCTCTAAACCAGGCCACTTATAATCTCCATCATAATGAGTCGTCAAAATAGTATTGACCGTTTTAAAGTCAAAATGGCAGTGAAGATTTTGGTATTACTAAACAAGTTATATGGCATTTTGATATGTCATTGTTCTGGTAATATCATAATCCCATCATTGTATAACTTTTATGGTTTCTGACCGAACAATAGTTGCAAGCGATCTTTACACCCGTTGTTGCAAAATAAACACTGTTAAGGGAATTCCGTATAGACCGAAGTAGACCCGGGCTATACAGCAGATACATTCAATATTTATATCGAAATTCTGTTACCGACAAGCTAAGGATGTATCTAGTCTGGAATTACCATGATGAAGGACGATGCTCTAAAGACGATTTTCTGTTCTATTTTTTCCAATGGCTTGCTTTAATTTTTTTAGTTGTTGGCAGGAGAAACCCGATTCAATTATTATGCGAGGGGCAACAACTCGTAATGCATGATCTTTTTTTAAGTTCATGGTAGCGTCACCTTCTTCGTCGTCAGTTTGAAGTTCGCTACGGACCGTGGAGCACGGATTATTTCGTTTGCACATCATTGTCATATGTGACCCATTTTTCAATGATATTACCTTCAAATGACGCCAGTGCCGATCTGATACGACCCATATTACCTGACAGGTGTGGCCTTAAAGGTGTCCAGCCAAAATAAGCCAACGCCCTTGCATTGTAAGAAATAGCGAAATAGATGTTCTCGTAGAGTTATGAGTCTCAAAAGTCTGCTTCATAGTAGTCAACAATATAAACTTTTTTCAATAATAGTCATTTGTTTTAAATTAAACAGCCAGGTCTATAGAAAATCGTCACTCTGATCTAAACATTATGGTAGCTCTGAAGTAGCTTCTTCCATAGGAGAAGCCAGGTTTGAAGAGTTTGCCAATCTGCCACGATCAATACTTCCCAACGGGGAAACATCACCGTTTCGTTCGAGTGGCAGATGGCAAGCTGGGGGACTCCAGCCATTTTTTTGTCTTTGATAAACTGCTTATTTTCAATGAACTAGTATGTAGGCGATACCTTGCCGGTTGTTTGCTATTCTAAGTGTGGACGTGCTTACTTTTCTTGACGCGCGTCACGAAACGTCGCAGAAAGGTATTTTTGCACTTTGCTCCTTGCTTCTATTTTGGTTAGCAAAATAGGACGAAACTCGTTGCATTAACTACCTTCTTATTCTAACCCTTAGGGGAGGACCCGTATTTATCGGTCGCCATTTCCAAGGCTAGGGCAATAGCTTGCTATGACTTCCAATCATCTTGACTATTGTGACCTTTCAGCATCTCTTCTTGGTTGTATACAACGTAGAACTGTGAAGAGTACCTGCTTATGAACACGCTACTAACATAGACGGGATTAAAGAAAAAAGTGTACTGGCGGTAAAATTCGAATTTTAAGCGCCCGATTTAAAAAGTGTAGTCTGAAAGCAGATCAGTACGTGAAAAGGCGACTAAATCCGGATATGCATGCAAAGCCCTTACCCTAAGCTAATCACGCAGTTATATTTTAAAATGGGAAATTGAGAATAAATAGCTTGCGTTGTGTGTAACCTGCGAAGTGGTTTAAACCTTATAAACCATGTATGGAGAAGATTCTCATGCAATGTCCATTCGTAGTTCCACACGTATAACTTGGAGAATGGGAAATTATACAATGTTAGTTAACTAAGAATGTTCAAGCCTCAGCCCTACGATCAATTGGCTTTCGAAATACAACGATTACTATATCCAGACGCACGTGCTGATAGTTTAATAGCAGTTAATTTAAGTCAAGAGTATATTATAATTGATTTCTCACTCCCAACTACATACATATAAAGCACATATATAATCGTGAATGCACTCAAGTACGCCATATCGCACTCTGAGTAATGAACAAATTTGTGTTTTGGCTATTGCTTTGGAACAGAAGTTATTTGAATCTAGTTTGTTGAAATTGGAAAGCTGACTATAATTCAAAACATTCCTCAAACACATGGACAGCTAACTGGATAATGCAAACTTTTGTTCCTTTAGAATTCAAAATTGTACCTACCACTACATAAACAATACACTCCTTTACACAAAGCACTTATGTGAAGCACAAACCTTCGAAGGGATAACCTCATGAGCATGATGCACAACAAGTTGCATACCAAGTAACGTACTGAAAAGCGTCTTTGGACCTTAGGCAAATTCTCCCTTCACAACAAACTATGCAACTTCCTTGAATTCAAACAATATATCCGAATGAGTCTATTAAACAGGTTAGGCAAGCTCTAAAATTAGGCCGTGTTTCCGCATTCACATAGGTTTTATTGTTCAGTTTGTACAAGCTCATGAAACCTGCAACAAGAATCCATCGCTAAACACATGAGCACTATCGTACAAACATTGTCAAACGCCCCCAATAATAACTACTTATCATTAATTCAAAAACCGCTAAGGATCCGCTAATTGCTAGGCAGAAATAGAATCGATAAGACAACGAATGGTATCCTAAGGGATCTGCACACAAAAGCTCCTCTGGCTTTGGCGAGTCGTGAACGCCTTTGACACGTCTGCTTTCTGCATACATAAGATCTTTCCTCCGATCCGGTAAACAAGCGATGCGTAGTTAGTGATTGACTTAATCTTGGCTAAGCTGACGGCTTGCTCATAATCGGCGCCAGTTGTCCGCCCGCCCGTGCACCTGTCTATGCTTACTCCTGTGATAGCGACGGTGGTCGTGCTATGCTGCCCCAACAAAGAAAAAGCAGTGATCGCAGGGAATAATTTCAAGCTTTGAACGTGACTATAATCAGAAAAAGCTTGCGACAACCAGACACACAAGCAATGTCACTTTTATATCGCAATAGTCAAGCACACATCCAATCATGCTTCGCATACGCCCGTCTAGTAATAATATAGGTACAAACGGGACAGTACTCTGAGGCTCGCTATCCTGCACATTGGCATCGGCGAGCAAGAGACGTAATTCGCAGGCAACACGTTTGATCATTTGCGTGTAAGCAACAATAAGATGGGGTAATTGGCGAGCGAGGTTTCCACGACAAGAGTAGGTGCCCCTCTTTGAAACCTCTCCCTTTGTGGTCTCTTCTTTCCATCACTCCGTAACGAAGTTCATCCACCTCTTATAGATTCGCAGCCTCCTATATAGAAAGGAAAGAAGGAACAGCTCAATTTCTACGCCGACTCTGCTACAGATCTACAACAGCCCTTTGTAAGGTGCCTAGCATCTGGCATTAGCGAATGCAGTCGTTTGCCCGACGTCAGAGAGCCTAACGTGCCACTACGTAACTGCTACCAGCTCGTCTGTCTGGCTCCGTGGCTGACTGGGTACAGCCAGCCAGCCAGTCGTAAATTCATTACTTGTAATGTGATTGCGGAAACAGCAGTTGCAACTGTAATAGCGTCGACCGTCGATCGATGATTTAGCAGCAGATACACTAGGAGGAGGCGGAGGCTAGAGTGATGGTGATGGGAACCTGCGTTGGATCGCAGCAACTGAGCTTAAGCCAGCAGTAGTATTAGTCCAAGTAGATAAATAGCAAGCATCTAGGTTGTCGACGACGCCCGCCAATGTTAGAGACTTGGTGACCCTAGTCACATAAACAGAAAACGAAGACGCTCGGATTCTACTACCACACAGAAGGTGAATGGAGAAAAGGGAGACAAACATCAGCCCGGGGAATGACGGTTATATCACAACGATGACGGGCAGATGTATGCTGTATGGTTCCGGAAGCAATACAAAACAAACGACAGTGCCACATTGTTCCCTAACTAAACTCCTTCAGTGTGAGCTCGAGTTTAGGGCCCCATGGAGCTCGTAACGGGTGTGCTGCTACGGGTAATAATACGACAAAAGATGAAAACAGCGAATCGGGCATTAAACTGCTAGGTACATATATAATGATTAAACGAGACCGGTGTTGGTGGATGAACGCAGCAGTAAGCGAAGTGATTTGTACCTGTACCTAGATACCTAAAAATACCTGTAGAGATACTACCTGTTGCCACGTAGGTTAGATACAAACGGTCTTTAATATTATATGGTGACACATCAAGTTTAGTGTAAGAGTTATAGATTAAGCACCTTCATTCAGATCAGAGGGAACGGGATCCGTATGGACATGGGTGAAATCCGAAACAAACGTTCTATTAAGAGCCACTTTATAGTATTGGTCCTTACTAACCGTTATTTTCGGAATAGCATGTGTGGACTAAATGGATTATAAGAATTACTGTTCTATTTGCTATGCGCTATAAGACTCATCATGAGAACTGCAAAAAGAACCACTAATATCACAGATAGTGAAGTGCACAGTACATAGTAACATGCGATACTTGATTTCCGTCGACTGCAAAATCGGTCGTATCTGAAGTAGTTTGCGACATATTTGACGAAACTTTACATATGTCGGAAACTACTTAAGTAGCCATCTTGAAAATAGTTTTATTAAAACATATAGGTAAATAGGTTTTACTTTATCCTCTGTTAAATAAATCTAATGCCCCACACGCGCACCAGGTGTGATAAGTGTCATTTGATCAGAATCTACAGGCATTTTCCTCAACCGGCGAGCTCTAAAAATGACTATCAGTAAGACGGCGACTTTCGTATTTACAGGTTTTCATAACAATGTCCATCTCTTCTTCATGGATATAATAACTTCAGCGTGGAGTCAATGTTTGTCTCAGCTTTCATTTCACACTAACAAACCATCCGTCTTCGCAATTTTAAGCTCTTTAAAGAGCGCTATTATAAGACTATATCTTAGAAGTGACGGACTAGTCGCCAGAAAAAGGTAGTTGGAGAGAATTGTACTTCAACCACTGCAGCCTCGACCGTTTCCTTGGCTCCCTTTTTCTTTCTTCAGAGGCCAGGTTTAGACATACCAAAACAAGGAGCACCGACGTCGAGACACTGCGACCAGCCCGCCACTGAATGAAGGAGCTTTAACTGAACTGGCAGCATTGTAATTGACTCCGTGGACAGAGTTCACAATTATCTACGGGGCAATCAGTCCCTTGCCTGTAGCAGTCCTTTCATGCTACAAACGGCCGGCGCTCTCATCCACTTCGGTAGCGGGTCGAGCGGTTCGTCCTACTGAAAAGCTCTCCACGAGTTACTTACGCTGTGGCTTGCTACTGTCGAGAACAGGGTTAGTGCTGGTACGGAAGAACGAAGAACGTCAAAGACGAGGTCGACAGCTACAACGCTCAGCAATTACTAACAGCATCGGCAGCAGTAACGTCAACTAGAAAACAGGCTATGTAAAAATTTCAAGGCGACGCTCCATTTGGCTGATTTAGCAGACGAAACCGGCCAAACAGATGGAAAACGTTTTCCACGTATGCTGCAAACATCAAGGCGACACGTGTTCACAATTAAATAACGGCAAACGGCTGGCGGCAAAGGGTTGAGCGAGCAAGGAGTTTAGGGAGTAATGTGCTGGTCTATAGCGTCAAGAGAATCGTCACGCAGGTCACTTCTCTACGACAGAAAGAAATCGAGCGAAAAAGAAAAGAGCAACCGACCAATGCGACCCGTCGTTGTCTACCCGGCGTTCGTAGGGGCGTATATTGGGTCAAGTTATCGCTGAAAAGTCGAAAGGCAAAATGGTCTCGGAAACTCACCAACCCCACTCGAATCGTGTTGAAACAATTCCCATGGAGGCCGAGGGATGTCAACAATAATGAACACTGCTATCTCACAAGGGGAGAAGGTGGAACAGAGTAAGGAAGCAAAAACATAATATACAACTATCAAGTAGCGAAATTCAAGACTTCCAAAGGTTGGGACCACCTTTATCGGTGAGGTTAACAATCTGCACACCCTATTCGTAAAATCTTTGTGAGCGTTAGCTTTGCTGGCGTGCATTCGCGTAAAAAAGGACCTAAAATGTCTAGGAACGGTGAATAACTAATTCGTATTAGGCACGTTGCTCACCGTTTGGTATTATCTATCTGTATGTTATTAAAAGTAATCTCTTAGATAGTTTGCGATAAAGACAACGTAAGTTAACGTTTTTAGCCAACACAGAACGAGAATTACTCATTGGCAACCTGCTCAAACGAGACCTGAAGGTAGCGCCATCAGTGACCCATCGTAAAACATTGCAAAGATTACAACAGCTTGTGACCATACTCCTGGACTTCCAAGGAAACACTGATTGATATCACTGCTTAAAAAATAATGCAATCGTCTCTTCGAACGCATCAGTAACTGACATCGAGATATTAAGGGATGTGTAGCCCTGCTTGCCGTTCTGCATTAGAAAAACGGCTGCCGATCTAAAACTTGTCTGAAATCAATCTGCACTCTTTCTTACACACGGTGATATAGTTCCGTTGAGGGCTATGTTTTTACACAGAATCACGTAGGTAGCCACCATCACCATAAGTTGCTTCTGGATGAAGTAGTAAATTTAATTAGCAATCCTTCAATGGAAAATGAGTAGCAACTAATCTCAATTCAGCTTTTAGCGGACGGTTCCTTTCGTTAGTTTAAATACTGGCTCGCAGAAATTGTCTAACGTAGACACATTGTGGCAATTATGTAGATTATTATAAGGTAACCTTACATAGATATGTGTTGAGTGGATGAAATGATTTGTTTATCTAAGCCACTTTCATCCATAGATAACGTCAGTTGTTTAGCCTTTGAAATGGCGAGCACGTGACCAAATATACAGGTACGTGTTAGCGTTGTCGGTAAAGCTAAGTCTGGCTAGATATTTTACGTACTGTTGTTTTGTGGAGCCTTTCTATCTCACACAATGGCGTAGTTCCATAGGCATCCGTCAATACTTATGCCGTTTTATCACTAGCCAAGAAGGATTTGCATAGGATTAATGAAAATCTGTGTGTGGCAATCCTAGCGCTCCGCTCTAAATCATGTGACCAGTATTGCCCATTCAAAAAGCTCTGGTCCTCTGGACATGGCGACATTCATCAGCCGCATCCAAGAGCCTAAACTATCAAACCGTTTAGGTTGGCTACAATCAGTATGGGGATTGATTTAAACTCGAATTATATATGTCTGACCATTGGCGTTCGCTTCCACTGGGTATAGCGACCGCATCGCGCAATAGATAGGAAATACGTTGTGGTTGAAGAAGCTACGCTTGAAGTACGTTTTGTTCGCAGCCAACGTCTGCATAGCAAAGTGGGTGAAGTTTGCACTCGTAAAACTGACAATTCTTTATATAAAATTTTTTCAGCATTTGGCCCTACTATGGGACCAATTAAATTGTTATCTATCCTTGTATTCGTAAAACACGAAAGAGCAAAATCAAGTATGTTTCCTCTAGCATACTCCAGCGGCATTCCGTTGCATCAGCCTAGCACTCGGGGGCAGATGGTCGAGACTTCCGCGACGTATGTTGACTAGTGCCCTGGCAGCTGCTGCCAACAGCTGGACAAGCGCCAAGATCACGCTATTACTATGTACGTCTACCCCTATACAGTTCCACACGTTCAATCTGAGTCACGACACACCGCGGACACCTCTCATTAAATCAAGCATACTACGTGCTATTGCCAGCTAGCGACGAGGCCAGCGCAGGCCGAACTTAATGAACAGCAACTGAAAATCGAATACACTGCAGTGGTATAAATCTACGTTGTTGTCACTGGTAAGTGAACTACGATAGAGATTCTAGCAAGCTAATAATGACAGATTTCTATAAGATTTATTTAGCCAGTAACCGAGAACGGTCGCCTTCGTCTCATCGAGAGCGCGCAGGGAGATTTCTAATTGGCGTAGTTGTTCGTGTGTCAGGTTCCTCCTTTTCTATTTTAGTCGATGCGAGCAAGTCGAGTGATTCGGTGTAATTTTAGATAGTTTCTGCTTGTCCTTTACGTGGTGCATTCCGCCGAAGGGAGCGCCGACTAGTACAAACCAGGCTCACTGCACTTAAAGCTCGCTATTGCCGTATGTGTCCCCGATGATCTATCCACCTGCGTCGGCTCATAGTATAGCAGAAGGCTAAACGATGCAATAGGGCTTTGTTCGTTAGCAGCTGGCTCCGTTTCGTTGACCTTTGCTGACGGCATTTGCCACTGTTGCAGAATCTAATGAACAGCTAGAAAAAGTAATTAGGTAACACAGTAATAATATTAATTAATCGAGACAAAACGATAATAGCTGTGGTCACCGTACTGATTCGCTCCCATTATTATGCTAAGAGAACGCTAGTAAAAGTTAAAAAATACCAGCGGCTACAAATGATACGCGTAAAAATGTTACACTTTTGAACTAGACCCCAACTAGAATGAGTCCTTCACCTCCAGCGCAGTGGAATAGGGTTCTTTTTTATGCGTTATTTTCAAATGAAGGCTGACAATCGGCAACGACCAAACATCTTTTTGACAGCTCAACACAAGTGCGGCTTCTTTAGGATTTAGTTCATTTTGAGCCACAACACTGAAGCGATGAGGATAACATGTTTATATGGGACCGAGTGCGTTAATATCTAGCGTCAATCGTCAATCGGATATTCTAATAGGAACAGATAGTTGTGTGAATAGGCGACAATATTCCAGAGCGGTTTGGGTAAGTTGCTAATTGCTGGTCCGTTAGCTTGGTCCGCGACGCTACATGCAAGTCCTTAAGCAAAGCAAGCAAGCTTCATTCCCATCTCTGAATTTCTCTTCTGGAATAATACCCCTATGGCGAGGCGAAAAACCGCGCATAACACGTAGCGACTACGGGCCAGAACAATTTCCACCTTTCTAGACTTCAGATATTACGCTCATTGCAGGTTTTGTTAGCGTATTGTTTCTACTCTGTCTTACATATCAAACTGCCATAAACATAAAAGCTGGACGAAATAGAAGCCGCCAAAAACCCCAACTGAAACCTTCGACGTTCTGTCACATGGAAGACAGAAGCCGGCGCTTTGTTCACAAGCTAAAATTGTATGTCTTTGTCCGGCGAGTACATTAGCGGTGATTGCAGCTACAAGCTTCCCATATCCAGCCACGTTTATGACTGTTACCGCGATACTAACACAGCTAGCTCGTAGGCCATTGCACCGTGCACCTTTTCGGTCCGCGTGTTACTCACAAGGTAGGTCACAAGTAGAATAGGGCCGAACTTATTTAGCTCGTGCAAAATACAGCCCCGGGAATGAGTCTTGTTCCGAGCTAAATACTAGCCAAGTAATTCTTACCATCACAAACACCATTAGCTGATACAGAGATGAACCTTGCACAAACAGGGAGCCAATAGATGACTCTCATTAGGACCGGGCCGGCTCAGGTCGTAGGTCACATCGCAGTAGTAGTATACACTTGGAGCGCACTTGTAGAATCAGTGAGTTACTTTCGTGCTACCAGCTAAGTTAGGCACCCTCGATAGGCTATGTGACTGCACCGCGTCAGGAAGTTCCAGCGAACAACTTAACACTAACTTGGTGGGGTGGCGGAACAATGCGAGCCTATTACAACTTATATGTGGTGTGACCGACTCCAGCGTACGCCAGTAGGAAAGCTATTAGCACCACGATTGCATTTCACCATGAGTGGTTCGTCGACATAAAAACAGACGTACAAGTCACTCTAAAATATAAAAATGGACATCATACGATGTATTTCTAAAAAATTACCCTTACCAACGAAACCTGTCGAACGTGATGTGATCGGAGTTATTTCCGATATAAAGGGAAGTAAATTTGACAGGTTGTTCTGACAGAAACTCAGCCCGTCTACGTAGACGCGGAGTACTTATCTAACATTACTAACGCCGACTTTATTGCAGAAAAAGGAATCATAACATTTATTAGTTGTTTCCTGGGAGTGACTCGAATGTTTAGTTATTCTTCTGGTCACAGATTCCTAGGTAACGAGCTACCGAAAACAGGTAGCCAAAATCGAACGAAGAACAAGAGCAATGAAGTGACGTTTAAAAAATCAATGCCCTATGTAAATTAACCTGCAAAGCTCCGTAATACACAATTAATAACGCAAGTTCCATGATATTTCTTGACATATCCGTAAGCACAATCCTTTACTTCCTCTACTAGTAATCTCTGTATAATATCGTGAGCTTGTGCGCTGTCGGGTCCCGGCTTTGCAAACCGAACCGTGAAGACTATCCCCTATCTACGTATTCTAAGCAAGTGGAACTTTGATGTGAAGATTTGATGTGCGCATGTACTCGTAATTGATTTTATCAGCATACTCACATGTAGAATGTCAGAGAGCATTCGGAACTCGTGTCCTTATTCAGCTTCCTCAGCAACTTTCATTCAACTTCATTTTTGCGTAAAGGATTCAGCTTTAAAAACTAGGGATCTCGGTAGCATATTTTCAGTAGCATATCTTGATCAGTGTGAATTAACAGTATCAACGTGGGAGCGAAAGTTAGTTTATGTTAACCCAGTTTTTTCAGGCCAATTAGATTGTCCACATGCCTCTTCGAGCCGAAATTGTGGCCCATTTAAATTCAGAAACACTAAATTATTCTTCTGTAAATTGGTGCGTTGTTTTGTATAGAAGAATCATTTTCATTTACATTACTTAATCAGCATGTACATCAGCAATATGGATACGCGGAGTGTTTTTGATTCAAAGAACTGCGGATTTACCTAGTAATCTACACTGACAAACCTAGCAATAAATAAAATCAATGCGTATCGATCTGGTAGGTACAGTATGTAGGAACCTAGAAAATAATAACAGTGATGACGCGCTTGTAAGGTTTTGAGCACCGATTCACTGACCCATATCTATTTTGGTCGTTGTTTTTATAATTTTATTCAGGCAAATCACCTTTTACCATTCTATGCACGTCCTAACACTAACGTCCACACTATGCATATTATCTTCGTATGAATACAAATACGTGCGGAACGCCGTTGTGAATAAGATCATGCTGGCAAAT